TATAAGCAACTATATTTTTTTTCTTATAATTTAAAAATAAATACTGCCATTTTGTAATCCTTATTTTCAAATATTAATATATAAATTTTTTTTTAAAAATTTTAATATTTAATAAAATTAGATCAGATATAACTGTTTTTAAATTTTAGCGTTCAAATTTGGCCACTAAACCTGACGGTTTAAGGGATAGCATAGCAATTAAATAGTTTACTTTAACTATAAATATTGGTTTTAGCTAAAATATAGTTGTAAAGTACAAAGATATAATTAGAAAATTATTTTAAATAAATTTAACCTGCTTAGTTTTGATCTTTTAAACTAGCTTAATATAATTTTCTAATTTTATAATATTTAAAACCAATGCAACAAACTATTCTAAACACTCTAAAAAATAGCTAGAAGCTATCAAACCTAGAATAGTTAAGAAAAGATTATACAATTTGTTGTATATTAGTCTTAATAAAAGATACTAAGTTGGCAAAAAGAAAAAAATCTAGTTCAATACCCAAATAAAGATTAAATATAATAGTTTAAATTTAAATTACACAAGGTTTTTAAAGGGGTTAAATATATCTAATTCATGTTTCTTAGTTAATTTATAAACAATAGTTGCTATATAAAAAATTAATTTTTACTAAAGAATTTTTTAAAGCTTTAAAATGCTGTATAAGTTTTAAAAAATTAGTAAAACTTGGACTTTATCAAAGCTATATTTACTAAAAATCGTTAAATCTTCTAAAACCCTTTGTAGTATGCTCTCTAAAAATTTAAACGGGCAATTAGTCTTGCAATTTTTTATTTTGGATATTAAAATTTTCATCTTAATAATTATTATTTTTTGCTTATTGCGCACATTCCGATATAACCATTAGACCTACTACGCTTAACCTCCTAAATTCTTAATTTGAAAACAATCGATTTCATTTGCTGATCAGCCCGATTGATAACTTCGATCACGATCATCTTTGCTTTTAACAGATTTATAACTTGTTCACATGATTTTGATACTTTTAAATCGAACAATTTATTAGCTTTATTTTGCTAAAAAAGTTTAATGCAATAACTTTGTGTTACACCCTATAGTGTAGAGTTATCTAATGAAATAATTGGACCTAACTGGATGTCACACCAATATGATAGATACACTTTTTTGTTGGTTTAATCGAAAATTGTTTAATATTTTCGGTCAAGAAGTTCTATTATAACATTATAACAACTTCATTTGTGTTTTACAGTGGAAATAAACTACCAATCAAACAAACTTGACTTATGCTAATAACGAAGTTTTAATAATTTATAGCATTGATTTAACAAATTTGATTGGTTTGTGAATTTTACACTATTGACTGAGAATGGATATATATTTAGATTTGATTATTATCCAAAATGAGGTAGAAGTTCCAATTTTCAAACCCAACCTATGTAGTAATGTCATGATTCAAAAAAAGGTTTGGGTCGTAACCCTAGTTGAGATCCAGGGTAGCTTGAATAATATGCGTTGTTTATCGAAGGACCGGCAACAACGTAGCCCATCCCATAGGGGACATTCATCGGTATGTGGGTAGCTGGAGTCCTTGTAGGTGGTAATCCCATGAACATTGGTTGTGTCCCACTAGGAATCGGATGCGATGGTGTCGTATGGATCGACCCATTGGCTATCATATTCTGCTGTTGATGTTCATTGTGGTGCATAGGCGTATTAACACCAGAAAGACGAACTGCATTTGTAGATCCGTAAAGGGGGTTACGAGAATTTTCATTCTGTAAATATGCGTGACTTTTGTTTATCGGAAGCATTCCTTTGAATGCTGTTTCGCGCATTGGTAACTGCGCCATAGCCTTCTCTATGCCTTCATGAGTTACCAATGCGGATGGCGGAACTTCGGATATCATTTCGGCAAGTCGCTTCTGCAGCTTTAAGCCTGTATAAAAAAAGTCAACGATTAAATATGCAAATCATTCGATAAACATTTAAGTCCTAATGAAGTTTCTTACCTAAATTTTTTTCTTTCTCTGACATATCGTGGGGATTTTTTATAAATCTATCGGTTTGTAATTTTTGTAACTCTAAAAAGATTTCGACATTTTCATCTAATTTTAAATCAAACATATGCGAATCATCATTTTCAATTAGTTTACATAACATATCGACATCAGTGTCCTCAGAATTCCCGTTTGTATTATTTGTTGAAATTTCATTCAGATTCTTTAATGGTTTTGATAAAGAACATTGATTCTGTTCAGTGCAACGGTCATTTTCGACGGAAAAAACGTCCTTGGTCGAATTTGACGTGCTTCTTGGTACCGGTTCACGAGAGCTTTTTTTGGATAAGGATTCATCTTTATTCTCTGTGCTTATCTTATCGGGCAGGTTTGTAGAATGACTAACAGCATTCCTAAACGCGCACGCTGTCACGGTATCTTCATAAGACATTAAGGCATCACGTGAGTCATATAACGGAACGAAAGACCCGTAAGGCTTGTACTCATGAAATTTGACTAGAGACCCAAAATAAATAAATAAATAGGAATCAAAAGAAATAGAAGATTAATTAAACAGATTATTATTCAATAAATGGATTAGACACTACCTCCAGGAACACTGGGTTCTTTTGCTTGTATATTTTCTTGCTTCTTAGTCGTGCTTGGAAGAATCGATCCTAGACTTGGAATATCGTGTTCATTCATTGAATGTAGCGGGACGATTGCTACCTCCTTAATATCACCGACTAATAAAGATTAATAGGCAAAAGCTATATATCAATGACATATCATATAAAGTACATTAGTCTATAAGCATACCTAGTTTGAATTTTTGGTTTTCTAATGGGAGCTGCTTTAGCGAACCACTTGAAAACAAATGCCCATTCGTCGTTGATTGAACAAGAGCTTTTTTTTGTGGCCTTTTTATAACAGAATTAACTTTTAAAGGAGAAAATTAGATTACGTATATTATATAAATAATTGATTTAAAACATTATTTCAAATGATTATATACTTGCATTCATTTTTATTTATCAGAGTTTCATGATTTATATTTGCTATATCTGCATTTTGTTTACTATTTGTCATTTCTTTCGTAGCTTGTTCTATCAGGCGTGAACCCAGTCGAATGAATTCTTTTCCAAAATTGTACTTTTTCTGATCGACAGATATGGAGTTGCTACAAGCACGAATAAAATCAAGCTTAAAAGCGTAGAGAACTCATTAATAATGTATTGACAATTCGTTATTACATATGACACTAAATAACATAATATTTACTTGAAACTCTTTCAGAGTATTGTATTCACTCTTATCGATCTTGGCGCGAATCGTTGCGGAATTTAAGGATTGCACTTTCCCTTGGCATTTTGAATCTTGCAAAATCTGATGTGTATCACGACTAGAAACAAAAAAGTGGTAAGACGAAAATCAGAATTCAGATATTAAACGAATTGATCATTTTCTAACCTCTTGTTTTTTTTTTTGTTTTTTTGTTTTTTTTTTTTTTTTTCAAACCACCATCTCGGACACTGGATAAGACATCAACTTCGAGAAGGTTGGGATGTATACTTCATTAAGCACTTAAGTCACAGACTGGTCAAGGAGATGGCAGTTACCCACCATGACAAGTTCTATGAAATTGTCATAAATCTCCTTCACCTCATAAAAAGTAGACTATTCCTATAAAAAAGCGAAATAAAATAAAATTTACTCACGCCTCCATTATATCCATTATTTTAATCAACAAATTTCGAAAATTCTGACCACTACCATCTTCTGTTACTTTTCCGTTATCAGGCTTCGAAATTTCATCGTTGGAGGTACGCCGATGCTTCTTCACCATTTATCTTGAGTTGTTGTCAAACGTAGTCGAAGATAGTCGATGTTTAAGCGTAATATAATAAACGCAAATCAAGGAGTAAGACGATTGTGAATGTTTAAACGGTATTAGATAAATCTAAATACTAAGATCGTGAACGTCAAAGTAGATCCAGACACGTTTTTTAGAGTTCGTTCTCTAATTAACCTTGCCTTGAAAGATGGAAGATCGGAATAAATCGGTAAACCTTATAATGACCTAAACGTGTCTGTGCTACAAACAGATTTTATTGTCCGGAGGACTTAATGGTGGAGTCCATAGGGAGAAGTTTGTTTGATTGGCTGATGTAAATCAATTGCCCAGGTAACGTGACGCAAACACTGCTAAAACTAAAAACCTTAAGTTTATTGGACCATATCAAACTATACTGTGGAATGAGCTTATGTTAGATTTATTATAGAAATAAGCTTATAATAAAGGAAAGTTCGGGTAAGTTTCGGTTTATAGACTGTATCAATATGTTTTGAGTTGATTAATAATAAATACCTCTCTTACCCTACTTTACGTGTCTATCTATTCTTTACGTGTATGAGATTAATTTATAAGCTTCTTTATATGAAGTTTTTTTCATTTCTTAGCAGTGTTGGCTGATGTCGATTATATTAAATGCTATATAATAGAAAAAATCTTTACTATAATATCAACCTAGCCATGGTGAAAAAATTATCAGATCACGTGTCGTAGATCATTTTTTAAGAATTTCTATTGGACAGCCCATATTCGCAATTTTGAGTAAAAAAATTAACAAAAAAAATTAAAAATTTGAACAAAAATATCTCAATAACCAACTAACCAAATTTAATAAAATTTTTTTTATTAAATTTTACAAATTTAGAATTTAAACAAAAAATTTGATTAGTTTGTTGTTAAGATATTTTTAAGTTTGTAAAATAATTAAATTATTCAAAACTATAAATAGTATTAAATTGTTAAAAAATTTGAGTAGATTATATATGTTAATGAAATTATTTTAGGTTTTAGGATATGAAATTAAATTTGAAGACAAAATTGTTTTTGACCTATTTTTACTTAAAAGATGAAATTTTTTTTTGAAGAGATGAAATTATAAAAAATATAACTATCTAAATTAGATTTATTCTTGCATATAAAAAATTTTAAATTGCTCTAATAGAGACAAAATAGTGTTTTTTTAAAAATCTATTTTGGTGGTATATATAGTAAAGATATAACAACTACCCGGCAAAATTTAATAAAATTTTTAAATAAAATTCTATAAATCTGTATAATTTTAATAAAAAGAAATTTATTAAATTTGGTTAGTTGGTTAACAAAATATTTTTATTTAATTTATAAAAAAGTAAACTATTTTAAAATACAAACTGTATCTAAATTTTTTTAACTTTTAAGTAATCTTGACAATTAATTATTAGATAATCTATCTGTTATCTGAAAAGGATCTGCAAATTTTATAAGTAAATTTTATTAATAAGTCAAATATAAAGATATTATATTAAGGGTGTGGTTACTTAGCGAAGTAGTTAAGTTGTCACACTCCCAAGTGGCAAGTTGGCAAATAGGGAGTTCAAAACCCATTGATAATAAAATTTTGAATATTCTGCTTGTATAACGGTTACTGTCTTTCAATGATTGGTTAAAACAGGATCTCTGTAATCTTAGTTGCATTAACAAAATTGGGAGAATATAGGGCATTTGTGCAATGCATAAGTTAGATGAAAGTATACAAGCTAGTATTAGTTGATACAAACCCAAGATAAGATCTGTACTCGTATAAACTCAAAAAACTAGAAAAATAGATGTCTGCTTGGCAAGACCTGAGTAAAGATGTAGTATAGACTTTCGACAGTGGCTATTGGAATAGGCTTTACTCAAGGTCAGAAAACCAGATGTGACAAGAATATCTGGCAAGTTGTTCTACCAACCAGGCCATCAGCTTAAACATCAATCAGAAGAAAAGGATTAGCAGATATACAGGACCAGTGTCTCTTCCAAGCCATCTGAATTGGTAGTCTAAAAAGACCGGTTAGTGGATACTACATTAGCAAATTTAAAGGAGCAAAATATTGCGAAAGAATTTGTGTTACAAAAAAATTTCGCAAATTAGTACAAAAATTTTGAAATATAATATTTTTAAAAAATTTCAAAATATTTTGAAATATAATATTTTCGAAAGAAAATTTCTTAATTTACATAGATATTTATATACAGAAATAATCCGTAGTTTGCAAATTGAGTAACATGCAAATTTTATGAATGAAAAATTCAATTCTTGTTTATGGTTAGGGTAAGAATTGGTTTGAAGTGAAGTATAGTTTATACTAAAATTTCGCAAGGAATTTTTTTATTAGAAGCCAAAAAGTGGTTTCATAATCAAAATTTTGAG